CTGACTCCTGGAAAAACGCTCAAGACTGCTGGTAAAATGTGTACAAAACCGCAAACAGCTCTGGCTCAAATCAATGGGAAAAACTTGATTTTACATATGTAAAAAGTGCCGCGTGTTATAGCGCACACATTCACAAGATCATCGAACTGAGCAAATCGCATAAAGCGTGCTGAAAGCCTTCAACTCAACTTAAAAGTTCAAAAATTGAAAGTTTCCTGATAAAGTCCACAAGCGTGTATCAAAAGAGGGATTCTCTCTCTGCTCAGTTAAGCAATATCCGGTTAAAAGGCGAAACGCTTACCTTTATCAAATCCAGTTCCAAAATCCGTCGAGCGCAATATCTGGCACTGATGCAGCTTCCGGTTTGACCCTTCCAAGACGATTCGAATTCTGGATTGTTCGAGCGAAAAAATCATCCCAAAATCCAGGAAACTGTGCAAGATTGAAAATTTCAATTTAGCATTTTTGTCGATTGTTTTTTACGTGAACTTGAACCAGAAAAGTGCATAGTGGCGATGGACTCTTGCGCCGGAGTTGCATTGTTTATGATTTCAATGTGATTGCATAAAAAAGTCATTAAAATGAGTATCTTAACATAGAAAGTCAGACGTCCTTCGCTTCCACTGCGTGCCGCAGGAGAGGATTCAGGCAGGATTTCTGCTCTAGACTGATTTCATACTTGCGACTATTTTTAGTTTACATTGTGCGTGTTTAAATGCCACAGCGGCCGATTTTTATTTTTAAACATTGTTTTATTGCAATGCAATGCTTCTTGATCGATTGCTTCAATATGCGTTAAAATCTGCCAAATCTTAAAAAAAATCAGGTGACAGTCAAGATCGTTTCCAAACAAGTTCTTTTTTAAAAAGGAAAACGCAAAAGGTCCCCATAAAGGAATCAGAAAAATGCAAATAGACAACAAATGCTGCAAACTGCGTGAAGAAGCCAGAGAGAAACAACTTTCCCAATAAACAAGTCATCGGAAGTTAAAAAATGCTGAATCAAATCAGGTTTTTACTAAAAGTAGTGAAAGTAGTGGTAAGTGAAAAAAAGTGGTTGCTCAAAAAGAGCAGCAAATGGTAAATGAAGAAGACAATCGAAGCAAAATGTTGAAGAACAGACTCGAGGAAAGGACCGCAGGAAAAAAATCAGGAGAAATATTTAATTTGTAAGGAGCAATAATTGAAAATAATGGAAGTGAAATGGAGGATAATGTTTTTTTATTCCAGGTAGAAAACAAGACTAGAGGAAATAAAAAGGCAAAGCACACACACAGCTTACAGTAAAAAGCAAACAAAGTATATTTAAAATACGTTGAAAAAATCTGAAACTAAACCTGGTTTTTACTATACAACAAATGTTTTTAAATTTTTTATAAATTGCTAGCCAAGTTCTTGCAATTCTGTCTGAAATTTTATACAAATAGACCTTATTAGCATTTGATTATTTTCAGAAAATGCGCACAGGCTTTGAACAAATGCTTAAAACAAATCTGGAATGTACGAAATTTACTTAAAAACGAATTTAAAGCGAACTTGTCTAGTCAGAATTGAAACAAATAATCAAATAAACCCGAAAATGATCGTTACATTAATGGGCAAAATCGCATTCTTACTGCCAAAACGATTTAACTTCGGTTGTAACAGGATTAGCAGAAATTAATTAAGTT